TCACTGCTCATCGACTGCTCATCGCCATAGCTGAGGCGGGACTTGCAAGTACGTCCGCCTGCCGGCATAGCAGCGGGCAGGAGCACTGAGTGAGCCCTTCTTTGCAGGACGAAGCAGGCAGACCTATGCCAACAAGCCCGTTGGCATCAGGAAGGCTCTGAAAGAGGTAGCTGCCGGGGGGGGGGGAAGAAAGGAAAGCAGGAGGCTTTCCAGCAGGTGCTGCCAGGCCTCCAAACGCGGTGCTGCCCCTCCATTTTCCAACCCCAACATTTCAGAGTAAAGCTGGGCAGCCTTTGAGCGCCACTGACAAGCTGCAGATCTGCTATAGCCTCGGCTGCCACCCCCTTCCTTGGCAGGGTGAGGCTGGAGCACGCGGCCTTTAATTGGCGCTGCCGGCATGGCAGCAGGCGGGAGCGCCGCTTTGCAGGACGCAGCGGTGTTTTGTTTTGTTTTGATGCAGAAGCAGGCTCTTCCTTGGAAAAGTATACAATTAAAAATAACTTGTTTTTCAAAATAAGCCTGAGTTTCAGTTTTGTTGTCTGTATCTCCCAAATCCTGGACTTTAAAGAGCAGCCACAAATTAACTGTTCATTCTGCTGAAGCTATTACACGTAGTCTTCAACTTACAACCATTAGTTTAGCGACCATTCAAAGTTAGAACAGTCCTGAGAAAAGTGACAGGTGACTGTTTTTCACGCTTATAACCACTGCAGCAATCCCACGGTGACTGTGATCAAAATTCAGCCACTTGGCAACTGGCATGTATTTATGACAATTACACTGTCCCGGGGGTCAGGCGATTACCGTTTGTAACCTTCCCAGCTGGCTTCCAACAAGTAAAGTCAAAGGGGGAGGGAAGCCAAATTCACTTAATCATATTACTAATTTAACAACTGCAGTGATTCACTTAACAACTGTGGCAAGAAAGGTCATAAGCGGAGCAAAATTCACTTAGCAACTATTTTGCTTAACAATGGAAATTTTGGGCTCAAATGCGGCCGTAAGTCGAGGACTACCTGTATTGTCAATAATGAAAATAGAAGAGTATGAATTATTATGCATTATTCCTGCAAAATCTCAGCAACATTAAAAAAAAGTTTTTTAGATTAATTAAAGTCTGCCATGAGCAAGTTAAGGTCAAATGGTAGAAATAAGCAACAGAATACAAAGATACCCTTCCATTTCAAGCCTGCTAATTAAACATCATTTCACTTCAAACAGAAACTGGAAAAATGCTGTAGTAGTTATTCATTACTTTATATAGAATTTTAGAGTTTATCGCTAGTGTGTGTGTGTATTTGCTTTGTTATGCAAATACTAGTCATTTCAGGGTCAAAATGACAGCAATCAAACAATTGTGTACATTATTCTGAAATCCTTGAACAAAGCTGTAAGTATTAAGAAATAAAGAAATCTGGGTGAGAAAGGAGATGTGATATATTTTATCTAAAGATTTCTATCTTTTCTCAAAGTCTAATAAAAACAAACAAAATCTTTATTGCATATCAATGACTGTCACTTTCTAATATATCTGACATACATCAAATGTTTTGTACCTCATATAAAGAGGTTTTCCTAGAATGCAAACATTACAATTCAAATAATGTCTAGCAAATAATTCCCGATACAAGCTTTAAATGTTATTTAAATATTAAGAAATTTCCACGCATTACCTTATATCTCGTTTCCTCACTGCTCTAATTTCCCCTATAAACAGGAGTGTACACATAGGCATAAAGTTGAAGGAACTTTCTCTACAGAAAATATAATACTAGATTCAACTGTTTTAACAATTAGTAGTAGCATGGACTACTACCAAAGAAGTTCCTTAATTAGTTTGACTCATGGATGGAAATTGCCTTAAAACTGTGGTATGGACAATAACAACACCAATATCATTTCAAAATCAGACTAGAGTTCCTTTGCCACTAAGAATTATATTGTTCCCCTACAATTAGATCCTGAGGGTTACTGTAAAGGTATTCTTTTAGGAAATGAAAGTCAGATTCATATAGCAGATGGTCCTTGCTTAGCAACCACTCAGTAGTTCAATGACCAAACTTATGACAACAACACTGAATGAATGATACATGTGACTGGTACTCAAACTTACGGTTGCAGCATCTTGCAGTTACATGATCACCACCAGCAACCTTCACTGGAGGTTTCTGATAAGCAAAATCAATGGAAAACACAGCAGCAGATTGCAAATGATCACGTGATGTCATGCTTAATAACAGCATGGAATTCACTTAACAATAATAATCAAAAGAGCCAGAATTACTACTACTATTATGCGGTCCCATGATGTTGCATTTTATGACCATGACACTTAGCAATAGAAATTCCAATTACTGTTGTTTAATAAGGACTTCCGGTATAAATATGTAGCAATATAAATATGGTCCAATCACACAGACACCAATTGTTGCATAATTATCAATTAAAAATCATGTAATCCACATATATACCACTAAGCCCCATAAAAATCCCAAGTATTCGTATCCAGGGATGAAATACATTTTAACAATATTAATACTAAACAAAACGGAAAACCTAAATATTATCCATCTTCTCTGCTGCAGAATTGCTATACAACAATTTATGCTGTTCTGACTTCAACCTTGATACAATATTATGGATACTCATAAAAATCAAATGTAACTTACAAAAACACTCTTAATGCAATGTTTCTATATTTTCGAATAATCCAGAAACATTGTCAAATTAAAAGGAGGTATTCCCATGTTTACATTCCGGCTGTTGCTGTCTAACTGGGAAGCAGTAAAATAATTAAATGATTAGGATTCAATAGGAAGCGACAGTTAAAACACAAACAAAACCAAATATTTCACTATTAGTTCTAGTAAACAGAGATAGAAGAACAGTATGGAGCAATATTAAGGTACTATGCCCTATAAGGAGCCTTCTGCTATTATTCAGTGTACAAATAATGGTTTAAGACATAAAGACAGGACATAAACATTAAATCTGAGATCTGATGGTGGGCCACAATTAAAAATGCATTAGAATCAGTGTTTCAGATACAAGGTTTTTCACTATGACATTAACAATTTCTGATTGTATAGTTCATTCCATGCAAACTGATTGCATCTATGAATTTCACTGTAATTTCAGGAGTATAGTATTCCACTTAAAAAAAAACTCTAGGCATTACTTTTCGATAGTTGTGGTGCTGCCACAGTGCAAAATTATAGCTCTGAGAATGTAGCACTATGACCTTCATTTCATATTGGTTTCACCTAAAAATTATGAAGACCCACGAAGAGTTTTTACCCAAGGTGAAGCCGATATACACACACATTTTTAAGACAACACAGTGCCACTTCTGAAAGTAGTTAACTCACATTGGAGGGATTAGATACATGTTAACAATGACTGCCAACAGCTTGCAAATTAAACAGCAGGGGATACAGGCAGTCCTCAACTTACAACCACAATTGAGCCCAACGTTTAGGTTGCTAAGAGAGAAATTTGTTAAGTGAGTTTTTCCCGATTTTACAACTTTTCTTGCCACATTTGTTAAGTGAATACTGCAATTGTTAAATTAGTAACACGGTTGTTAAGTGAATCTGGTTTCCCCATTGACTTTGCTTGTCGGAAGATCGCAAAAGGGGATCACATGGACCCCGGGACACTGCAATCGTGGTGTGAGCCAGTTGTCAAGCATCCGAATGTATATCACATGACCATGGAGGATGCTGTAACAGTCGTAAGTGTGGAAAAAATGGTCCTAAGTCACTTTTTTTCAATGCCATTGTAACTTCAGAGGGTCAGTAAGCGAACTGTTGGAAGTCGAGGACCACCTGTATAAAAACGGCACCGTTTTCCAACCCGCAGCAGCCTTAAAGTGGCCACATTTTGCAACACCTCGGATGTGGCGCACCTCTTGGTTTTGAAGGGTCAGATGAAAGAATATATGTGCAGATGAGGCCCTGGGGATCAGAAGAAGGGTCATATGTGGAGATAGGACCCAGGTGTGGGCGTGATGGACATGAGAGTGGGGAAGATGAATTGTGAGAGAAACATTTACTCTTAGACAATTAAACAACTTTTTCTTTCTGCTCACTAGGGCATTTGCAGCACAAGATTGCTAACAGTTGATAGCATTGCGAGCTGGGCTGCAGGGGGTGGGGGGCGAGGGAGGGGGGCTACAGGAGCAATGAAGCGAGACAGGTTCATAGGTTCATCTGTCAGAAACCACTGTGAATAGCTCACTTACAAGAAAACCCCAAACCACATAGCTGGCACAGAAAACTAGAAGCTTTGCAAGATACCCATGACCTGAGGTGGGCACTAGGTGGCGTGACATTTAGCTATTTTGCATAGCAAGCGAGAAAGCTTTAGGGGGCTGCAATCCAGGTAAACCCATCAATATTATATATTATGCATGTATTATTGGGGGGAGGGCAAAGGGGTGTATGTGAGTCACCTTTGATTATAAAAACTGCTGTAAAAACTGTAATTAGAGCCTTGGTAGCTTTCAAAGCCGGAGCCACTTATATCTTGGTGCCAAAATAAAAGTCCTTTTGTTTCCATATCTTGTTTTTGGTGATCCATTGGCTTCGACACCAAGCTAAGGCCCAGTTTTGGGGACAACAGTTTCAGCAGCGCCATCAGGGCAATATCCTGGACCAGGGGTAGGCAACCTTGGCTCTTTTATGACTCGTGGACTTCAACTCCCAGAATTCCTGAGCCAGCATGGCTGGCTCAGGAATTCTGGGAGTTGAAGTCCACGAGTCATAAAAGAGCCAAGGTTGCCTACCCTGGTCCTGGACGAAAAGCCTAGGGCTCCATCTCGAGCAGAGCAGCCTATTAAGGCTATCAACGGCCTCCGAAGGCAACCCGGGCGCACAACGTTTTCAAGTGCGTAACAGACGCCTCTCTCCCCGGAGCCCTCTAGAGCCCCAGCTCTGCCCCGCTTTCTTTCCTGAGCCCGCCCACCCGCATCTTAAAGGCCCAACGGCAGCCACACTCACCGACCTCTTTCTTTCGGCCTTGGCCCTCGGAATGGCAGGGATCTAGGCGAGCTCCGGCCAAGGAGCTCCGTCGCCCGCGACGCACCGATGCCCCGTTCCTGCCTCGCCAAACGGACGAGGAGGAAGGGGGGAAAACACACACCCCCGCCAACAGAAACAACCGTCCGCAGGAGACCCGGAAGCGGAAGTGACTTCTAAGGCCGCGGCAGATGGGGAAAGAGGGGTAACGGCCTTCCGTTGCACGTGATGAAGAGGGGCGGAAAGAATGGAGCGTGGACTCCGAGGCAGTAGAAGCGCTGCTTGCTTGACGAAGCAACGGAATCGTCTTTGCCGTTGACGGCGCGCGACTCAAAAGGCAACGCGGGAGCGCGCCTGCACATCTCCGTGTCACCTTATATATAACATCTGTCACCTTTCCGGGCTCCACATGTACACCAAAATCCCTGATCAGCGGTTGCGCGTCCAGGGAAGAGTCCTCACTGTGCCCCACGAAAATTGGCGTTATAACGATACACGCAGCGCTTCTTGGAATGGAAAAGTCCGTTCCACGCCAGGGTTTTGTCCGGTCGCGTCTTCACGTAGGAATCCCTAGAACGGGTAGGCAACCTCGGCTCTTTTATGACTCATGGACTTCAATTCCCAGAATTCCTGAGTCAGCTATGCTGACTCAGGGATTCTGGGAGTTGAAGTCCATGAGTCATAAAAGAGCCGAGGTTGCCTACCCCTGCCCTAGAAGAAGTTCCGATGCCGGAGCGTGCTTGGTCTGAGTTGTAGGTGTATTGGCCAAGTGCCAACTCTGGCTTTGTTTATGGGCCAATTAATCAAGCAGAGTGGAGGAAAGCGGAATCCAAATACAGGTAGTCCTCGATTTACAACAGTTCGTTTAGTGACCGTTCAAAATTACAATGGCACTGAAATATGTGATTTTTTTTACAGTTAACGACCTTTGCAGCATCTCCCATGATTATGTGATCAAAAATTCAGATGCTTGGCAATGGATTCAGATTTATGACGGTTGCTGTGTCCCAAGATCATGTGGATCACCTTTTGCGACCTTCTCACAAGCAAAGTCAATGGGGAAGCCAGTGTCATTGAACCAAATGGGCTACTAACTTATCAACTGCAGTGATTCACTTAACAAACTGTAGCAAGAAAAGTCATCAAATGGGGCAAAACTCACATAACAAATTTCTCACTTAGCAACAAAATTTTTGGGCTCAATTGTGGTCGTAAGTGGAGGACTACCTATACTTTATTTCTACACAGAAGCAAAGGGCATTTCGCTGATGGCTTCAGCAAAAGTGAAGCCTTGAATCATGTTTACATCAAGCTTTTTATAGTATTTGCACAAAGAAGCATAAAGTTATAATTTCATTTCACTTCGTAGTTCTACTTATGCCTGCGTTCCAAGCAGCTGGCTGCTACTTTTAGATCTCCACAGTTATTCCAGTTTATTTGATGTACTAGATATGTTTCAGCAACAGTTCCATGTTTTCATATGTTTCATGTATCAATATAGCCAATAGTTACTGTAAGGTGTGGAGGGGAGAGTATCCTCACCATGAATGCTCAAGCCTGAGGCTGTCAATGATGGCATTGCTTCTGTGGTTGGACCCTCAGCAAGTCCTCCCTCCCAGATCTTTATGGACAGATTCAACATGAAGGTGGTCAATCCAGACCTTGAGCCATATACCTGACAATCAGCATCTTGAATTTCTCCCATAAAGTAACAAAAGCATCTCCCATAGTAGTGGGAATCACAAGACATTCATAACTATCTAGGCTACTGCATGTTGCATCAGAAGCTTCTCAACGGTCCTCAAAAGCAGCCATACGTAAAGCACATTTCAGTAACCTATCCTTAAAGTGTGCTTGAATGATAGTAAATAAAACCCCTTATCCAAAAAGGCTGCAACTACTGGTATGTAAAAATTCTCCTTTCCTCCTTCCCACACACCTCCCAGTTATGGACCACCTTTATCAGAAACCCTATCCTATCCAGAGTCAAAGATGGATTATGTCTGGACTCACCTGGCTTCAGAATCCACAACTACTCTTCTCGTTAGGATTTAAACTAAAGCTACTTTTATTGACATTAGCTATAATAAGAGACTCTCGCAAGTCTGATTGTGCTGTACTGATTGTATTCCTTTCTACAGTTCAGTATTATGGAGTTTGACCTGCTTTTGAATGTTATTGGGATATTCTGGATTAAAAAAAAATGTTAGCCCCTTCTGGCTTGGCAAGTTTCTATATTCACCAATGTTATCTTCCTTCTGTTTTCTTCCATTGGCTCAAACAGATCCAATATAACTCCTATCAATATTTATTAAATGGGCCTACAGCCTTTTCAACTATTCTGGTTCCATCCACAATTTCACATGGCTATAAACTAGTTTTTTTAAAAAAAAATCATGTCATTTTTTAATTTAAAAAAAAATAAATGATCAAAATCTCATCATGAGAACAAAGAATCCCATGAGTTTGGGCTGCTGTATATACTTTTTAAACACATTTTTCTTTGGTTGTTGGATGCCGCCTAATGGCGTTATTTGCAGCATACTGGCTCCCAAAATATAGTTAATGGTTATGCCAACACTTAATTATATCAAAATGTAGCATACGGTATATATTTTCTAAATAATGTAATTAAATGGTGGTGCTGAAAAACGTAAGTACTGTATGCATGTCCTTCACTTTGGATCCAAAGCCAAAAAGGCACTAAAAGATCAAAAGGAGTTTTAAAAAATCCTGGTTATGCAGACAGTTTAAGTAGCCTTCACTATATATCTCACTATTGCTAACTTCACCCACATGGCTTTATGCTAAGCAGTACCAACATAGCTAAAATGCCAGCCAACTGGGGGGGGGGGGGGGAAGGAAGCAAGAAGTTAGGAAATATGTAACTGAAAATAAGAAAACTAAGCTGTTAGAGTATACATTTCTGTACTAATAATAGCATTAGAAGAGCAGGTGGCTTTTCTGTTTTTTACACATCCTGCTGCTATACCTAAAATAATAGAAAATAACAGGAAATCTACTAGTACATAAAAACTATAAAACTGATTGCCTTCTCTCTATTGAGGATTTTCTTCGTTACACTGAGTTTTACCCAACAACCATTTTCTAATAAACCCTTTTTAAGTAGCCCTAGTAGACGGTTCGCATGGGACTCTTTTCCTAAACAGTGGCTCAGTGTGGAAATGCATATCCCACCTATAAGAGGCCCCTTAAAGAAGCTGCATCTCCAATCTCAGAAAAATAGCTATTTAAGGATGCACCAATATGGTCTAGAGGAGAGGTCCCTAACGTATGGGTCACGGCCCACTACCAGGCTGTGGCCTGTTGGCCACTGGGCTATGTGAGTGGCTGGCCACTGCGCACACACATGTGCATGCTCATACCTCCTTCCGCCGGCACTAGCTGAGCTGTGAGTCTCATGCCGGCGCTTCCAGTCCCATTTGTGAAATGCACCTGCTCGTGGTCCTGATTCCATGCACCCACGCGCAGCCACATTAGCGTGTGTGCACATGCGTGCATAAAGGTGCCTGCCCCTCCCTTTCCCACGGGGCCAATCGAGAAAGGTTGGGAACCCCTGGTCTAGAGCTTGTGAGGATGCCTTCAGCCCATTAATTCATAGTCAAAGTTGACTCTACTCCATAGTTGCCTGCACCTGCTTTCACTCCCAGCTTTGCCAATGATGGGAGGAGGGGGATGAATTCCTAAGGGTGGGGAAGCTATGGAATGCAAGTGAACCTTCTGTTGCTGGAGAAACATTATCTGCCAAAGCCAACTCATGAATAATGTTTGATCAGAGCAGATAGTTTTTTCCCAAAGCAAAAGAACTGAACTCACTGGGTGAACTATGAACTGTGGGTGCCACAGAGGGGAAGAGGGGAGTTACCTATGTGGTTTTTTGTGGGAAAATCCCAGAACAGATTTTGCTTCTGCCATGCCTAGATGGATTTCTCAGTAAAGCTACACTCCTGGTTAATCTAAAGAGTCGGGAGTTTCTTTGATTGAAAGTGCCAAAAAGACACATACTTTCGTAGGATCGCTTCCTTAAGAGGACACTATCAGAGCCAAAGGAACTTTTGAAATTCCAATCTGAAGGCACAGCACATCTCCCATCGATACTTTCATAAACAGCCAGGCTATCGAAGTGGGAAATAGTTACTCTGACTATTCATATCCAGTGAAGAACTCGTTATGTATAAAGGCTAGCTGAATAACATGAAGATTGGGTTTTTCATTTCTGTGCTTTGCGTAGAATGATGGGCATATGCATACAGGTAACATAATTCTGATTTTAAATATAAAGAGTAAATGGATTGAGAATGTTTTCTTAGATGTTGCAGCGGGAACTCAGGTCAGGTTTACAAACTGCTACATTGTGATTTACTTAATCATGAATAAACACAACTGAGTTCATGTTAAACTAATTTAGCTATCAAATTAAACCATACCATGGTTTAGCAAATAAATGAACCAAGTCATAAGCCATGTTTATCCAGTTTCACATGAGCACAATTACGTAGTGATCCATTGCTTTCATATGTTTAACATGCAAAAAAATTTCCAGAAGGGAACAAAGAAGAGAAGTTAAAATATGGGAAGCTGTCCGTGTAGAAAAAAATGGAGCTATCAGTGCTTGATGAGACTGGCATTCTGCAAATTAGTAATTAGGATTGCAGGGATAATAAAATTTGTCTTACATGTAGAACAAAATGGAGAATGGACAGTTGTGAAGTTATGCAAAGATAGGATGAAGGAGTAGAGCAAAGAATTAGTATGATTTTCTTTTTTAAAAAATTACAGTCTCCATTCACAGTAAAACAAACAAAAATAATATTTCTGGGTATTTTATTAGTTTTTAATTTTTCACGTCCAGGCAGTAGCACACACAATAGCTAGTACATCTGTGCAAGGCTGCCTCCTTTACTCTGATTTAACAGCCTCCAATCGCTACTTCCAGGTTGTCAACAGAAGCTACACAGAAGGGCAATGGGAATCCATTGTATATAAAGGTCTTTGCTGCAAATCCTGCTTCAATTACAAGGACCATTCCAAGCCAGTGGGAGCCAAATGTTTATTGTTAAGGTGGGGAAGGACAGGGAGAGAAAACAAGGAAGTCCCATCATTACATTCATTTCTCCAAGACCCTACTGTCAGACTTCTACCTTAGAACTGTAATAATGTAAAAAATAATTAAAAAAGGACTGATCACAGCAAGGCTATAATACTGACACAGAGATTAGGGTCAAGGAAAACTAGATTCTACGGGAGTGATGGGAAAGGTGGCTAAGACCAGACAGTTTTAATGAAAAAAGAGCTTAAGAAAAATAATTTAAAAAGATTCTGGTTCAATTGGCACTGAATCATGAAGGCATCATCCGCAGTCAAGAAAGCACCTGCAAAAAAAAAAATGAATATCAAGGTAAGAAATACAGTTCAGATGTTGGGTTTACATGTTGCATAAGCCTTAATTTTAACTATAGTTTGTTAAATAACCAATACTTTGCTGGACACACATGAACCAAAAAACAGACAAGCCACATTATTGCCATAATGTGTGAGCTCACTCTGTATCTTAGCTGAGCCAGGAATTACAGCTGATGTTCCCTATATCTTATTTTGTTAAGTCCATTTTCAGTGCCATAAGAAGTTGGCACAATCAGTTCTTTGGCTCAGATTTATGGCAATGGCTGACCTGATCAGGGATAATATACACTATCCCTAAAATATACCGTATATTCCCTACCCTTCCCAGCAGCATAAGGAATTGAAGGATAAATAATGCACATATGGCCCCTCTCTCCATTTCAAGGAGACATCCAGACATGCCCTAGACCAGGGGTGTCAAACTGCCAGCCCGCAGGCCGGATATATCACGCCGAAACCGCGCCCACCCCATTGCCGGCAATGGAAAAAAAGTCGTGATACATCACGATACGTCACGTGACATTGCTAGTTTGACACCCCTGCCCTAGACCTTGTTTGCCCAGATTCAAGAACTCCTTAAGAACTTGGATACACACAATCTTTCCCAACCAAAAGCCAAGAGCAATACCAGGCCAATTAACTCACCAGCTCAACGATCAGTGGTTGTGCGCAAATCTGTGGTCAGTGGATCATGCTGGATTGTCTGATGCAACATGAGGGCAAGTAACCCAGCCCGGTTAGTCATAGCCATCCGAACATTTCGTTCCTGCTCAAACAGCTCATCCAGCTTGTACCACTGCCAGTCAATAAAGACATCCTAGATTACCATGACAATTCTTAGATCAACCCCAGGAAAACTATTTCCCCAACAGGTCTATATATAGAGAGGTTCCCTGTTACTCCTCAAACATCTCCAGGTTGATCTGGAGGCTGAAAAGCTGAAGAATTGATGCCAGCCCAAATTCTGGACTAGAGAGGCTAGCAGTCTGATTTATAAAGTTATTTGTAAATAAATAAATAAATACGTGTTTAACAAAAGGTAAGTCTTTGTGTCCCTAAAGGTTCCTGAACGTACCACACGCACTCGCTCCAAATCCACCTCAGCCCGGCGCAACTTCTCCCAGCAGTAATGTCGATTGCATTTCCGTTTGGGCACCCGGCAGAATTCCCCAGTGAGCTCAAACACATCTTTTACCATGGGGCAACCACACACCTCATCTGCCGAAATCTATGAAAAAGTCACAATCAAGATTCAGCAGGATAAAACAAAGAGTTACGTCTACCCTGAGCAAGTATTGCCCCATCCAATGACATTCCGAAGGCAGCAAAGAAAAGTGCAATTCTAGCCGTATTGGTGATTCAGATTTGATTAATTACGTAACTTATTCTGAACAGTAAAGTCTTCCTAACCTGGGGAAATATTATTCCACCGTGCCCCCAGTTAAGGGTTCAAAAGATACTGCCTGAATCTGTATAAAACAGTTGTACACGTACAAGTCTCTGTCTTTATGTATGTATATGTATACACACACAAAATAAGATATAAAATACTTAAATCCTAAGATTTAAAAACTTATTTTTTATTCTGAAACGAAATCCAAATCAATGCTTTATATGGCAGTCTACACTTTTCTTGCACTGTTACCAGAATCAAGGAATTCGCTTTACGTAATTTTCTACTGAATTCTGACCAACGGCTAACTTCCACAAAGAACTGCCCTGGCCCCTCAAAGGAATGCAACTCTTTATTTACTTTTGGGTCTCGGGAATGCTCTGGGCAGAGGACTTGCAAGCGTTTGCAGTATGTCTTGCTTTGTGGGTTGTAGACATCGCAGAAAAGACGAGTAGCTCTGGGAGGGGAAAAAAACAACAACCACCACGCATGATTTTACACGCCTCAAACACATCCCCCACTTACCATTTTTTTTTCCCCTAAGCTAAAAAGCCTGCAAAGGTATAACCTTTCCTAACGGAGGAGTTGCTTCAGCCCTTTGTTAATTTCAGTGGTTGGAAGCATTTCAAATGTAATGGCACCAGGGATTCGTATAAATGCATCATAAATTAAGAAATGAGTTGCCCATTTCTTTCCTAACGATCCCAAACATAAGATTTGCCCCCTTTTTCCCTTCAAAAAAAGCTACAAGTTGTGTCGGTGTTTTTTTGTGTTTTTTTTTTAGTTATCCAACATATCCCCAAGACGGGTCTCCTAGTCTTTTGAAGATTTTCTTTACAGAACACATATTCAGTAAACTTGTATCTAGTTGATATTTTTAATACTTTCTACTAGTTTATCCTGCACACACATTCAATTGTCCTCCTTCCTTTCTTGTTTAAACAAGTGGTGTTCACTAATCACTTTCTAATCCTACCTAAAGATGCTATCTCTTGGGCATGTTATGAATTTTGCTAGAGCAATAATTTCATGTTCGGGCAACTTAAGACGCCCAAGGAGTCAGTTTAGTATCTCAGATCTTCCTCTTGAAATGTAATAGAATTATAAGATTGGAAAGGACTTTGGGCGTTTTTTACTCCAACCATTTGCTGGAATTCTCAGATAAACCCAGACAATTGGCTATCCAGATTTTATTGGAAAACCTTCAGTGATGAAGAACTCATGACCCCGGCATTGTTCCATTGCTTACTAGCTCTCATGGTAGGAAAATTATTCTTGAACTAAAGAATAAGTTTAGATCTTTCTATATAAAGTTTTCCCTTGATTCTTGTCCTTCCTTTCTATTAAAACTTTCTCTTAGGCTAAACGTATCCATTCCTTTTAATTCTTTTTCATAATCTGTGATCTACCAGGATGCCCAGATTTTTTACAAGTATTACTGCCAATGCTTTTTTTTCTAAAAAAAAAAAAAAAAGGTGCCGGAACTCACACACGTCATACAACCCGCCTTGCCTACCCTACAAGGTTCCATCCCAAAAAGGTGCCGGAACTCCGTTCTGGGCGTTCTATGAGAAAAAAAAGCCCTGATTACTGCTGAGTTAGATACCAATCTTGAATTTTTCCTATCTGTGCAGAACGCTACTTTTCTCACTGCTAAACTGTATGTGGTTGGGAAAGTTCAAGCATCCCTGGATATCTAGCACTCAAATCACTTACCTAGCTCTTTTTTAACTCTTACCTATCCAACCATTTGTACTGTTTCTATCCGGATATTCAGGCAATCTTCAACTTATGACTGGTCACTTAACAATCATCTCAAAAAAAAGTTATTTGCAACCTATCCTCAAAGTTAATGATTACTATACCATCGCATTTTGAGCGCTTGGCAACCAGCTTGCATTTATGACTGGTTGACGCATCTTGCAGTGACACAACTGCATTTTCTAAAGCTTTCCAGCAAAAAAATGCCCATTAGAGAAGCTTCATTTGGACTTACAACGTGATTCCCTTACACGACCACAGTGACTTGTGCTTAATGACCACTGTAAAAATGGTGGTAAAATCAAGTCCAATCACAGTGACTCAACTTATGACCACAACTTACAACCAAAATTCCAAGGCTCAATGGTGGGTCCTAAGTCAAGGACTATTTCTATTGGCAATCTGTTTCCTTGCCTTATTGCTATATCGTGCTTTTTAAATTGAGGCTGAACTCTGTTACTAGAATTCATTTGTCTATATGTACGGCTGGAGACACTTTCTGCTTCTTTTGTAACTTTTGCTAACTTGATTATTTATTTAGTTCACCAGTTTATAGCTCGTCCCTGTCTACAGTCTCTGAGCAAAGTATAGCAGAGTAAAACTACAGATTAAGCACAAAAAGAATGACATGAAAGGCCTGCCACTTGGTCTCTGTCCCCCGCATATCATAATATTCTTACTACACAGTCAGATTAACCTTGGCAAGGCAATGCTTTGTGTAGGCTGGTACGGTATTATATCATGTAGGATTTCATTGATCAGCACTTTTGAATTGGTCCCAGACCACCTTCTTGTAATTATTGCAAAAACTTTAGTAGTGGTGTTAATCTACTGTGATAGGAATATCTCATCAATAGTCTAATCATAACATTCTGAATCAGGTTCTGGGTAGTATTCAAAGACAGTCCCAAGAAGAGTGTGTTACAATAATCCAACTGAGTGATGATCAAAGTACGCATTATTGTTGTCAAAGTATCCTGCTCTAGGTAGGATCATAAATGGCATGCCAGCCAACACAGGGCAAGCAACGCGAACACACTCACATCACCATTGCTTGTTTCTGCTGTTTAAGCAGTAGCCACAAATCCAGGAGAACACTTGGATCACAAACAACTTCTTTCAAGAGATTGTTACCCCATCCATCCAAAATAAAGTAGCAGGGCTGGAAGTTCCCAAATGCTGACCAAAAAGCACCTAGGTTTTGCAATAATTCAGTCTAAGCTTATTTTGCTTTATCAAGACTCTGACATCAACCTCCAGACATCAATTCAAGCTTTCAACAGAATCGCTGGTCTGATTTGGGGTAGCAATGTATAACCGGATGTCATCTGCACACCAATGACACCTCAACCAAACTGTCAGATGATTTCTCTTAATGGCATCATACAAGTGTTAATTAATGGGGCAGGCAGCACTGAACCTTGTGGTACCCTGTATTGTAGTGCTGGCCATCCCCCTTGATTACAGACTGAAATCACCCACACAAGCAAGAGAAGAATCGCAGGAGCTCAGTGCCCTGACTCCAGTGCTTGGAGGCAGTCCAGCAAGATTCTATGACTGCCCAAAAGGTCTAACGGTATCAAGGTCCTTCACAAAAATCCTTCACCAAGGGCAAAGAATGTGGTTTCCATCCACTCCTTCTGGATCCTCACTAGCAGCAATCTGAGACAGTCCATTTCTTCTGGCTGAGTCATCATCACCTTTTCAATAACCTTTCCTAAAATGGGAAGTTTGAGGAATGTTCACACAAACGAACATGAGTCTAGGATTTTTAGGGGGGGGAATTAACTTGCTGTTCCCCTTAAAGTGGTCCTATAACAGAGAAGACACTTCATAAACAATTTCACATACAAATATATACATAGTCCCCATCATGATTCCAGCAGCATAACAAAAACAAAAACAAAACCAGAATGGCAATACAATAAGGACATACTATACTGGGAAGGAAAGGAAATATAATTGGATGAACATGAGGAAAGGGGAAAATTTCTCTTATAGAAAGACATTTTTCTCCCTTCAAATAACTATATAATGAGGGTATTTTATATAAATAGTTATTTGAAGGGAGAAAAATGTCTTTCCGTAAGAGAAATACAGTATTTATCTGAAAGAAAAATGATCCTTAATATAAAAAATTCTCATGCCCCCCAAAAGATTAGTAGAAATAAAAACATAAAGATAGGCAAAATCCTGCATAATACCAAACTAAGTATGTACATATAATATCCTTTCATATATGTGTGCATACATATAGCTTCCAGAAAACATACTCTAAAATAAAGCAGCATTTCCTGAATTAATATCTGTTGCTTGAAATTGATTGGCTGTAAAATAAGATACCCAGAAGATAATTATAAGATTCATAACATTAATTATACCTGAATATAACATCCAAATCATTCTCCCCCAGAAACACAGAAACCAAATTATGCATGTTGCTCTCTACTCTTCCAAAAGAAGCCGCCCCTGTCCCCCCCCCAAAAAAAAAAACCCTGAAGAAAAAGCAATGTGGAGTTGGGTTGAAGGAAAGAGAAAGCTGAATTAGGAAAGGAGAAAAGAAAAGGGAAATGGAAGTGGAAGTGGATAAAAAGGGAGATAACTGGACAGGGCGGGAAAAGAAAGAGACAGTTTATCTACTAGGAGTCACAAAAAGGATTAAATTTAACTAGGCAAAGCAGAAGGTATGGCTGGCTAATCTCATTTTCAAAGGCATCCCAAGATATATTCAGTGACACGTACTTCCCCCTCCCCCCCAGTTCAAATTGTATTTTTTTATTCTTAACAATAATTCATTTTCATATTCTCAGCAATAATAAGACACATTATTGTAGGGAGGCAAACATGTTCTTAGTTATTAACTTATAGGGAGAAAGAAAAGGAAGGAGAGGGATTTGTATGGTTCTTTTTTTCCCCCCTGTCTATTCTTCCTGGGGAGGGGATGTCTTAACTTTAGGACCATCTTATTTTCAGGAAATTAAGGTAGGGCTGAAAGATATACTGCATCTCAAAACAAACAGAAAGAGTCTGGGTGGCCAGGGTTGGATAGCAATGAACTCATATTTCTTACCCTTCAATACGTGTGGGATACATAGACCCAAAAGATGTCTGGCTCTCATACTGCAGAGGGAAGAAACAGTTAAAGCACAGTTAAAAAGTCTGAACAGAACAAAAAATATCACCGGCATCATTATGTGAGAAAACAACAGTCAATCGTACGAACATTAGTTACCTAACGTGAAAGCTCAGGAGTCTTCTCATCTCACGTAAAGTTTTTTAAAGCGTGTTGCAAAGTGGGTTTTTTTTTAATTTCAAAAGCAGAAGTACAGGTAGAGTTACCATTAAGTGAGGATTACCTGTATTCATAAGAGGCACTGACAACATAATAGCAGCAAAGGGGAAGGGAAAAGATTGATGGTGAGCAGACCTGTGGAGTATGAGCCATCACTGACAGGGAAAGTTATCGGGAAGATTAGTAGATGAGCATGAGGGAAAAGGAGATACACACAGTAGTAGTACAGGCTTCACTATCAGCAGCAGTTGCGGAGAGGAAGTAAGGAAGATGACAGGAAGACTGAGGGACAAACAGGAGGTGGGATTACAGCATACTGGTAGTCCTCGACTTACAACCCCAACTGAGCCCCAAAATTTCTGTCACTAAGCGAGACACTTGTGAAGGGAATTTTGCCCCCTTTTATGACCTTTCTGGCCACGGTTGTTACGTGAATGACTGCAGCTTGTTAAGTGAGTAACGTGATTGTTAAGTGAATCTGGCTTGGTCATCACGTGACCTCGGGACACTGCAACTGTCACAAATATGAACGTGAATTGTGACCACGTGTCCATGGGGGATGTTGCAAGTGCGGAAAACAGTCCTAAGTCACTTTTCTTGGTGCCGTTGTGACTTCGTGACGGTCACTAAACAAATCGTTATAAGTCGAGGACTACCTGTACCATTCTAGGTATACTGACCCTGCCATGGCAACAGAAGGATTGACCACACGTTAGCTGTAACCTTCACTCCTTCTTATCAGCTACTACTTGGCTTCTTCCTCAATTTGCCCCCATTCAATTTTTATTGTGTCTTGTTTTTATTCTTTGCACGACATTGTTTTATATTATAGTTGACTGTCCAAAGTTCAGAGTTTTAAGATGAGCTGCCATGTCAACATTGAAATAAATCACACCTGTCTTCAACATTCCCATTTGTTTCACCACCTGAAAATGTCCCGTGCATGGACATTTTACATATCCCTAAAGCAGTGGTGGGATTCAGATATGTGAACAACCGGTTCTCTGTGTGGATGCCGCTTCCGGAAGTCCATTCTGGGCCTGGGCAACAAAAAACTAGCTACCGGTTCTGCCGAAGTGGTGCGAACCGGCTGAATCCCACCACTGCCCTAAAGGTTAGGTAATCTTTTTTGACACATGTTAATCCCTGAAGCCTTACTTAGACAAGCTTGGCAAATCAAAAAAAAAAGAAAAGAAAGTAGCAACAGGAATTTATCTTCATTTAATGAATATTGCTTGAATAAATGATAACTGGCTGATCACATTAAATACCTGTACTTTTATACTGTAGTAATTTGGCATTTAACTGATAATACTCTTCTCTTCCTTTTTTTCTCGTGTTTTTTTCCCATGTTCTTAAATGGTTTTCACCATCACACACCACTTTGTATTAAGGTTGAATAAAGAACAATTAAGATAACCACAAACACGTATTTCACGCAAACATAGCTAATACGAATGTAGCTGATGCCTGTTAAAAATCATTAACAACATAAGTTGCTATTGCTGCCCAGCTTGTATATTATTCGTGGTCTTGAATGCTGAGTTAAAAGGCAACTGGAACTGAGCATAGGGCTATTTTTTGCAAATCATGCTAGGCCACAGTTGCATTTAAAAATCCATCAATAAACCATGGTTTATTTACTGATCCCTTTCAATATTTCACATCATCCTATAACCCAAAGCAAGGAAGGCAACTTACGGCTTGGTATAACCCTGACAGTGAGGACAATTAACCAGTGGAATAGCTTGCCCCCAGAAATCGTGGGTGCTCCATCACTGGAGATTAGATAGTCACTTGTCTGAGATGGTATAGGACCTATAGGTTCTCCTGCTTGAGCAGGGGACTAGACTAGAAGACCTCGAAGGTCCCTTCCAGCTTCTATTCTATTCTATTCTATTCTATTCTATTCTATTCTATTCTATTCTATTCTATTCTATTCCGTTCCGTTCTGTTGTTTTGTTCTGTTCTATATTCTATTCTATTCTATTCTATTCTATTCTATTCTATTCTATTCTATTCTATTCTATTCTATTCTGCTCTGCTCTGCTCTGCTCTGCTCTGCTCTGCTCTGCTCCGCTCCGCTCCACCCCATCCCATCCTTTTCCATTCGTAGTCCTCAGATGATGATGGCAATTGGGACTAGGATTGTTATTGCTAAGGGATGTGGTCATAAAGCAGTGTTAGGTGACCACATCACTTAGTAACAGCAATCCCAGCTGTCATCATAATCCCAGGACTGCAAAGGGTTGTTAAGCAGGAAGAGGCAGAGTCCCAGGTGTGCAGGAGGGTGTGTCAAGGAGGAAGTACTGCAGGCAGGCATTGGGGAGTGCAGGTGGGCAGGCCAGTGTAGTGGGAAGTGCTGGCAGGCTGGCAAAGGCAGCAGGTGGGCACTGGGGAGTACCAGACCAACAAGGGCAGCAGGGGGAGCACCCTGGGCTGCAGGCAGGCATTAGGGGAGCAGAGGTAGACAGGAGTTTGTTATAAAATATGAGATCCCAGAGAATCTCATATTCCATAGTGGGGCTCCTTGGAAGAAAATGTGGCAGGAGCGACTTGCTCCCTTTCCTATCAGCTTCCCAACTGACTTTGCGTGGAGATCACGGGGATGTTGCAACAGTCGCAATTCTGCAGACCGGTTCCAAATCCCCCCCCCGCGTTCAGCACTGTTGTAATGTTGAATGTTGCTGAAGGGGTGGTTGTAACTCCAAAACTACCTGTACAATGCTTAAATCCTTCCGAATGCAATTCAAGAGCACACGTAAACAGCGCCGGGGAAACCAACATACCTTGGCATAACATCTTTCCATGTGGCGAAGGGCAACTTTGGGGTTGATGGGATGGCCGCAGGAGACACAGAATATCTGCAAATCTGTGTCATCACTGTCTCCTTCACTGGTCTAAGAAACAAGCAGATGTCAAAACAACCACCTGAATTTTAAAGAAAATAGCACCTTATCCCATCCATGTACAGAACTTTTAATCCATCCGGGCAAGCAAAGAAGATTCAAGACTCTGGCAACAACCCAACGACAGAGAATTTATGCATTGGCGGTCATGAGTAAGGTGGGTGGGGGGAGTTTTTTTGTTTTTTTAGTCCAGCTTGTTGAACCAATCAGGTATCATGGGATACACTCAGAAAGCTAGGCCTTAAAGAGGAACCCTTGGCGTAATGATGAAAGTGCTGGCCTTGAAACCGGGAGACTGTGAGTTCTAGGCCTTTCTTGGGCAAGAAATCCAGTCGAGCGACTTTGGGACACACTCTCTCTCTTTCTCTCTCTCTCTCAGCCCAGCCCACCTCACAAGGCTGTTGTTATGAGGAAAAAATGAGGCAGGAACATTAGGTATCCCTCACTGTCTTGAATTGTATCTTTTAAAAAAGGTGAGGAAAATATAGTATCACACAACACTAATTAAACAAATCATACCATCATGAAGCACCATGGGCAGATCTAGCCATTTTCCCAACCAAGCTTGTAGAGCCAGGTTATTAAGCCCCTTATTGGCGGGTGTTTGTGTCTGTACATGCGCCTTTAGGTCAGTGCTGATTCCTGGCAATTACCTGGACTAGTCCCTGAACAGGTAGTCCTTGGATTATGACCTTAATTGGGATAGGAATTCCAACTGGTAAGCAAAGTGTATGTTAAGCACAATATTACGGGACGAGGCCATTTAACGACAGCAGTCCAAGCAATCCAGAGTGCAGCTATTAGGCCAAGACTGTGCAGTCATTAGGCAAGGACCTCACACTTCTCCTGCCCTGTGCAATTGCTTCTGCTACCACTACCACCCCCGCCCCACCTCCACCTGGGTGGAAACGGAGTACCCTGCATTTTGGGTACCCTGCATTCCATCTACCCCTGCCATGCCCCCCACCACCCAATGCAGACCTTCCTGTCTTCCTCCCGCTGCTGGCCCAGGATCCAGATATTGGGCAAGGATGCAGTCAGTGAGTGTGGCAGGGTGATGAAGCCTCGTCTGCCGCACAGAGCTTGCCAGGCTCAGTCAGGGAAGAGGCAGGCAGCACTGCAGGAGAAGCCGCGGCTATCAAGGAGTGATAGCCCAGACTGTGGCGAGCACAGCAAGATGGGACAGCAAAGCTTAATGTGCTGCCTTGCCAGGCAAGGCAGCGGTGGCTGCCTAAGCCAGCGGTTCTCAACCTATGGGTCGCGACCCCATTTGGGGTCGATCGACCATTTCATGGGGGTCGCCAAGCAAGGCTATCCGCCATTTTTTTTCCCCTTTTCTGGTGGGTGCCTTACCTCCCTTGAGCTGGGCCAGCTGGTGGTCGGCCTGCTCCGTCTCTGCCGCTTGCCAGCTACGCCTCGGCCGGCGCAGGGGGTGGAACCACGCATGCGCGGCACTCCCAGGCAGGGAAAGTCCTCGACTTACGACCGGTTGGGTAGTCCTCGACTTAGGACCGGTTTAGTCCTCGACTTACGACCGGTTTAGTCCTTGACTTACGACCGGTTGGGGGTCGCGGCATTAAAAAGGTTGAGAACCACTGGCCTAGGCGAAAGTGGCAGCTGTGCAGGAGGTGCCATTCAGGGTGGTAGCAGAACTGGAGGAAGCGGAAGGATGTGGAAAAGGGGTAACGCATCCTCTCCAGCTCACATTGGAAGCACTCCTGAAGATCTGGCCTGCGGTCTTCCAAGAGGGGTGGAGGCAAGCCCAGTACCAACAGACCCTCTGTGCCAGCCTTCCTCTTGCAAAGCCTCACAAAGGGCCAGAACCTTCCAACAAGCTGAAGCCCGTGGACCAATTCATCAGGAGCACTTCCAGCACAAGTTTTGGGATGTCTCCTGCGCCTCTGGGAAATCCTTTTCCTTGTTTCTTCCAGTTCTGTTGCCACCTGAAATGACTGACTCTCCCTCCCCCCATAGCTATCTTCACTTGGGGAGCCACGGCCACCTTCCCTAGCAACAAAGTGCACCACGCCTCGCATCCTGTCCCACTGCACTCTCCACTTTCTGCAGACTATCACACCTCACATTGGCAGTGGAAGACGGGGTCCCTTCTCCTGCACTGCTGCCCTTGGAAGCCGGACCCAGGAAGCTCCCTTCAGCAGACAAAATTCCACAACCCTTATTGTGCACATACTGGGTCTGCACCCTCATCCAGGGCTTGGATCGCAGGTCAGCAGTGTGAAAAAGTATATGGCAAAAGTCAGCTGGGGACAGCAGCGGTGTGTGTGTGTGCGTGTGTGTAGTGCAAGGGCGGCCAAATGGTATAGGGTTTCCTGCCTGAGCAGGGGGTTGGACTAGATGATCTCCAAGGTCCCTTCCAACTTTATTATTATTATTACTATTATTACTATTATTATTGATCATCGCACAGTCAGCCAGATGTTCAGACTGGATTTGGCATTTTTGTCTACCTATCGAGTCCTTACCAAGGACCTGGGATAGGCAGATGTGGATGTTTGATGGCATTACAGATATCGTCGCAGGATGGAAGCAGTTCCTAGTAAGGCTGCCTTTTGCAGTTGACTAATGGCAAATTTGTTAATGCCAATGATGTTCAAGTGGTGCTCCAGCTGTATTATTATTATTATTATTATTATTATTATTATTATTATTATTATTATTATTATCTTTTATTCATTAAACATGAACCTCAGTCAACTGAACATTCAAATTGGCTGGCGCTGATGGTTGACACGGGTTGCTACCAGCATCCTAGGTGTCAACCAAGTACCTCCTTAAAATATAAGATGTTCGGAGTAGCACAGTTTTTTGTAACATTGCTGGAGTTATTGCAGGAAGCTGCAGTTTCTTGATGTATTTTGCAAAGTTTTTGGACATAGTTCCCAGTGTCCCGATGACAATGGGTACCACTGTTACACGTTTCATCCATAATCGGCAGTTTCGATGGTCAGGTCGCGATATTTCGTAATTTTTTCCAGTTCTTTTTCTTCGACTCTGGCATCTCCTGATACAGTGATATCAATCAGCTGTATGCTTCGGTTCTCTACAACTGCAATATCCGGTGTATTGTGTTCCAAATGGCGATCTGTCTGTATTCGAAAGTCCCACAAGATCTTCACCCTCTCATTCTCAACAACTTTTTCCACCCTATGTTCCCACGACTTTTCGGACACAGGCAAGTTGTATTTTTTACACAATGCCCAATGGATTAATTTAGCAACTCGGTCATGTCTAGATTTGTAATCCGTTTGCGCGATTTTGCTGCACTCACAGATTAGGTGTGAAACAGTTTCAACTTTGTCATTGCAAAGTCGGCAATTTGGATTGTCAGTGGATTTTTGTATCTTCGCTTTCATGGCATTAGTTTGTAGTGCTTGTTCTTGAGCAGCCAATATTAAGCCTTCCATTTCTTTCTTGATGGTTCCCATCTGAAGCCATGCCCATGTCAAGTTGTTATCACATTTTCCTTCAATGTTTTTCAAATGCTGTCCACGCAGAGCTTTGGTTTTCCATCTATTTAATCTGTCATCCAGCCGTTTTTCCTTATATTCTGCCTTTGTTTCTGTTATTTTTAGAGCGCTCTCTGTTTTCACAGCCTGCAGCAGTTTTTCTGCACTTTGATTCACGTAGTCATTCAAACTTCGTTTTTCTTTTTCTACAGTTTGGTGGATTTTTTTATTATTATTATTATTATTATTATTATTATTATTATTATTATTATTATATGGTCAGAGATGGGGGGAGAGATAGGTACTGTAGATGGAGGGAGTTCAAATGCCTTCTGCAATCATAAATTTTAATCATCTGACTGCAGGAGCACTGCAATGGCTGAAGGACTGGTAATAACTACCATTCATTTAATACTATCGTATCTTTGAATGGTCGCTGAACAAATGGCCATAACCTGAGGTTCACCTGTAATATTCGTGACAAGATTTTCAGAAGTGGTTTTGCCTTTGCCTTCTTCTTAGGGCTGAGAGAGAGAGCCACTAGACCAGTGTTTCTCAACCTTGACAATTTTAAGGCATGTGGACTTCAACTCCCAGAATTCCACAGCCAACATTGCTGGCTGTGGAATTCTGGGAGTTGAAGTCCACATGCCTTAAAATTGTCAAGGTTGAGAAACACTGCACTAGACGGAGTCATCCAACTGGCTTTGTGCCCAAGGAGGGACTAGAACTCACAGTCACCCCTAGTTTCTAGTCCACTGCCTTAGCCTCTACATCAAGACTGGCTCTCTAGGGCATTATATAGGCTAGTAAATTCTGCCGTTTACGTCCAGTCAGACTTCCCAATAGGCAATGGTTAATTCTGCTCCAAATCAGTCTCGAGAAAACTGTCCAATTTTCTCAAATCAAGGTAGCTGCCACCACATCACCACTGGCCATGTTTTTCACTGGGTTCTGCCCACTGCTTTTCGCCCTCCCAGCCAGGAAGCTGAAAAGTTCAGGGTACTTTATCTGCTGCAGCAATATCACACAGCACATAATGGGTTCAGGCTCACAGAGAATTCCACTCAAAATTTAACGCCACACACACATGGCCGGAGGAGGTAGGTAATTCAAAACACTCCACGTACTGGAGTACACTTTTGTTAATATAATTTGGGGAAATGTAAGTGTTTGCTTAAGAAATAAAGGGACAGATGTTCTCCTACGTCAGGGGTCTTCAAACTTGGTCCTTTTATGGACTTGTGGACTTCAACTCCCAGGATTCCTCAGCCAGCATGCCTGGCTGAGGAATTCTGGGAGTTGAAGTCCACAAGTCATAAAAGGGCCAAGTTTGAAGACCCCTGTCCTACATGCTTGAGAACATTCTGAAAGAATTTCCGGTATTAGCTAGGATTCTAACCAAGAACTATTGCTATTTTCTCTTACATTTGTGTTAAAAAAGAAACCGTCAAGAGTTTCACCATTACACTTTAACTTCAACCTAGAATTATACTTCTAGTTTGGCCCAGTCTGAACTAACCAATTATGCTAATGTAAGCAGACTCAGGACACGTACAAGTGGACTGGCAGGATAAGTAGCAGCTAGCAACTGAATTCTTTTAGACAAGAGGATAGATTTCCTTTTTTTCTTTTTCTTTTTTACAGTGTTTCCTCTGGGGCTTAAATCAAGAGTTAACGGAGCTTTCACAAACCTATTATAACAATGAAAAAGATTAGGGAATGACTGCTTAGTTCTTCTGACATTATAGAGAATGACCTCAATTTAATCTGGGAATGCACACAAGCTACTGGAGTTTAGGAATATGTGTGAATGTATGTCTATTTATTTCCACTTCTAGAGCCACCCATCTCAATCAATGCCTCTGGATGGTTTACAACCGGGCTCTTCAAACTTGGCCCTGTTATGACTTGTGGACTTCAACTCCCAGAATTCCTCAGCCAGCGTGCCTGAATCCACGCTGGCTGAGGAATTCTGGGAGTTGAAGTCCACAAGTCATAAAAGGGTCAAGTCTGAAGACCCCTGGTTTACAATCTATAGCTGCACTGGTGAGAAACAGGCGCATACTGTTCAGATGCCAAAGAGCTCTAGCCGTATCTATCCAAGCTCCCCAATCTGTTCTAAGAAGGTGTCCATCCAAAGGAGACCCAGCAATTCTGTCTCCTTCGCCACGTTTTCCAGGTACCTCTTCATCTTCCTTGATAGCCTGCTGCTTGGCCCGGACAATTAGAGCTTCCAATTCGTGGAATCGGCGTTCCATTTCTTGTAACTTAAGCCGGGCCTGCTGCTGCTCCCGCCTTATCCGCTCCAGCAGCTTCTTGCCATGCTCCTCTGCCACGCAGGGACTTTGCTGCCACTGCTGTATGCGCTGTGGGAGGATCTCATAGATGCGGCTGAGGAGGGAAAGAAGATCACCACAGGTCAATATGAGAGAGCAGGGATCAAATGCGATATAACGTTATTCTACTCAATTCATATGCCTCAAGGATATTGTAAGCTGGAAGGGACTATTTAAGGCAGTGGTTCTCAACCTTTTTAATGCCGCGACCCCCAACCGGTCGTAAGTCGAGGACTAAACTGGTCGTAAGTCGAGGACTAAACCAGTCATAAGTCAAGGACTAAACCGGTCATAAGTTGAGGACTACCCAACCGGTCATAAGTCGAGGACTTTCCCTGCCCGGGAGCACCGCGCATGCGTGGTTCCGCCCCCTGCGCCGGCCGAGGCGTAGCTGGCAAGCGGCAGAGACGGAGCAGGCCGACCACCAGCTGGCCCAGCTCAAGGGAGGAAAGGCACCCGCCGGAAAAGGGGGAAAAAAATGGTGGACAGCCTTGCTTGGCGACCCCCGTGAAATGGTTGATCGACCCCAAATGGGGTCGCAACCCATAGGTTGAGAACCGCTGATTTAAGGCACAAGTGTCTTAGATTAAAGCAACTGTCTCAGATGCGTTTAAAGAAAGAAAGCCATGAACGTATTTCCTAGGTATAGAAAGAAAAAGTGCTTTAAAAGTTCTCCGTGCACTACCCAACAAAGCTCCCCGTTGTCCTAGTCTACGGCAGTAACGATCCACGGGAACAAGAAAAAAAATTCCAGACCAAAGACTGGTGCCAGTGGTGCCCATGTGCTCTTCTACCAAAACAGGTTTCTATTATTATGGATTATGACACTCATTCCCAAAACTGTCCCTTTTAGTTTCATCATAACTGTCCCTTCCATACAGCTGAAGTTCGGGGAGGGGGGAAATGCTCATATTTCACTACCAATATTTATCTTACCCTTTCATCTCACTCCAGCTCCAAGGGCAAAGTTCCCTTCCCCCTAACCCAGGGGTAGGCAACCTTGGCTCTTTTATGACTCGTGGACTTCAACTCCCAGAATTCCTGAGCCAGCTTTGCTCAGGAATTGCTGGCTCAGGAATTCTGGGAGTTGAAGTCCACGAGTCATAAAAGAGCCAAGGTTGCCTACCCCTGCCCTAACCCATGCTGAAAAGTAAACATTGAGGAGACATAGTTCTTACTTGGCTGCCAGCTTCATTCCACATTCATCGGAGCAGTACTTGGAGCTAGCCCGGGCAGCCTGGATGCAGCCAGGGCCCAGACATTGATGTAAGGAAGAAGGATCTTTAGCATCCACCCGTTCGGCATGTTTTGACCTGTCACGGTGTTTCTGCTTCTGCTTGTGTCGCTTATATTTTTCCTCCTTCTGCAGAGCAAGAACCACAAAGAGGGCTCAAGGAAATCTAACCACTTTCAGTCCTTTCCCCCAATGTGAAGATTCACAATACGAAGGCCATATATCTCCACATCAAGACCCACATTGGGCACCCTGTTTTTTTTGTTTATGTTCTTGCTTTGTTTTCTGCATTCAGCAGATGGTTGATTGAAAGCAAGGCCAGCCTCAATGTTTCTCAACTTCATCAACTTTAGGATGAGTAGATTTCAGTTCCTAGAATTCCCCAGCTAGAGTGGATTCTGATTGCTGGAAACTCTGGGAACCGAAGTTCACATATCTTAAAAGTTGATGAGTTTGAGAAACACTGGCTAGACTGGAGGGATCCTGATCTGATCTAAACAGGAAACACTACTTCAGACGCAGTATATATAGCAATTTTAAGTCTTGGATTTGGGAAGCCCAGATTCTCCATCTTTTTCTTACTAAAAAATATGGTCATGTGGAACATTGTTACCTTCCCACTGAAGTGGTACCTATTTATCTACTCACATTTGCATGCTTTCCGAACTGCTAGAAAAATTCTTGTATTCTTATCAGAATTAAAGACAGGACTGAAAAAATGATATGTGGGCTAGCCATTACACTGTTGTCATGACAAGAATGCTGATTTGGTATGGGGAGACCCAGGACGAGATCCCCACCTAAACTGAAAATCTTTGGGTGACTTTGTCTCTTAGCTTAAACTATTTCAGATTGAAAGAGGGAGGGAAAGATACTGTTTACTTTCTGAAGGAAAAGCAGAATATCACATAGGAACATTTTTTCAGTCCTGTCTTTAATTGTGATAAGAATACAAGAATTTTCCTAGCAGTTCGGAAAGCATGCAAATGTGAGTAGATAAATAGGTACCACTTCAGTAGGAAGGTAACAGTGTTCCACATGACCATATTTTTTTATTACTGTGGTTTTTAGTATCGCCTGTTCACCGCCCTGAGTCCCGTAAGGGAGATAGGGCGGTATATAAATTTAATAAATAAATAAATAAATAGCCGCTGTTTTCACATTCGCAGGGGTGCTAGCGCTGCCACCAGCATTATGCGGGCACTAGTGGTCCATTTGCACATGTGCACAGGTGCTAGCAGCCCATTTGCACAGGCAGGCAGGCACCAGCACCACCATGGATGTGCGCAGCCCGCTAGCAAATGCACATGGGTGCTAGCACCGTGCGCACACCTGTTTTGTGCTTGCGCACATACATTTCCCTGCTTCTCCCTTTCTCTCCCAGCCACCAACCCGGAAAGGTTGGGCAACTCTGCTCTAGAGGAGAGCTCAACATTAAGATTCATATTTGTTAGGCACCCTCCTTTGTTTACTGTTGTTCTATTTTGTGCATCCAGCACATAGCTCAGTGGTGGCGAACCTATGGCACGGGTGCCAGAGGGGGCACATGTGCCATTGCCCCAGCCTCGCCTCCCCCCACGACCCCCTCCTCACCAGCAGCCCCCCTGGAGGAGTCGCCCCTGAGCGTGGCCCACGCAGAGCAGCGCAGCCAAGGACATGGCAGCCAGGCAGTGTAGACAAGACTCTGCCCTCACGCCCCATCGCACAGTTGATGCTGTAGGGCGCGGGCAGAGGGCGTGGCCACCATGGCGCTGCTGGGCTGCCTGAGCGATCTGTGGTGGGCTCTGGAGGCGATGAATGGCCCTGCGGGCAGGCGGGGTAGGGGATGGTGGTGTGGGGGCGGAGCGGGGCCAGTTTTTGGGCACTCAGTCTCTAAAAGGTTCGCCATCACTGACATAGCTGGTTGCAGCTGGTAACCAAGGAAGAGAGTTTGAGAGCCAATGTGGCATAGCAGTTAAGGTACCAGGGTAGGACTGAAGAGACCCAGGCTCAAGTCCAACTCTAACAAGGAAATTTACTGGATGACTTTGGGTCAGTCACTCACTTTCAATTCACCTACAACCCATAAGGTTATTGGTGTGAGGGGGGAAAGGAAGGATGAAGAACTACACCTGGTGCATTGAGTGTCATGTGTCTGACTAATGAAACACTTCAAAGAACTTTCAGGCATGGTTTAACCTAAAAAGCCTTTTATTAGTGTAGAGGGGTGTCAGCACGGCATGGTGAATGCCAAGATCTGAATTTCCCTTCCTTTGCAACATAACATTCCAGGCATTTCCCCTCCCCTATTTTGGGGTCATGATTCACATCTTCCAATTAACCTGGAGGGCAAAGATTCACTTCCGTTCCTTTTCCCCGGGCTTTCCTTATAATTCTCCTCCCTTCCTCTGTCATCTGAATTAACTCTAAAAATACCAGACAGTTCTCCATATTTTGTCAAAGCAAGAATATTCAATGTTAGCAGCGTTGACATAGAGCTCCTGAATGTAAGGCAAACTATACATCTAATACATAAATGAAGAAGTACTTCTGTTTCTGATGGAACAGACTTGGACTTAGCAATTTTAAATCAAGGAGGAAGAAAATGAAAAGTAGGTCCCTCCCAAACCATAAAGGGAGCCAACTTTGATGGACTTGTAAGCACACTGTGGAAAGGATTACAGCTTTAGAATGTGCTCTTCCCCCATTAAAAATTCCACTTCCCATCCCGGCAACTTGCCATGTTGGGTTCATACCTTCTTCTCTGACTTCTTTTCCCTGCGCTTGACATGCTTCACTTTCACTGCACGTTTCCGCAACACAGGATCAAGGAAGGGCACATCGTCTGTGTCGCTGAGCCATGGCTAAAAGAAGGGATAAGATGGGGGGGAAAGGAGGGGGGGGAAGATTAACATTTCCAGAACAAGACTTTTAGGAAAAGCCAAAGAGCAAGTCAGCTTTGCTTCCGTTTCTTCTTTCAGGAAATACATTCTGTAATTCTATTACTCTGGCCAGCAACGTATTATGTCATAGAACCACTTTGAGGAGAAAAAAAAAAGATACCAGAGTAATCCACTTTGGGATTATTTAAAAAAAAGCAATGAAAATGTAAAATAGAAATGTATTTAATACATGAAACTGCATGCTCCAGTTCCATTAATGGCCCTGTTGTCACAGATGTTGACAATCCAAGATGGGTTGGGTTTTTTTGACTTCATGTAGACTGGCATTTAGAAAGGGAAACACATCTGGCCTAGGAGAGTCAATGCTGTTGATCTTTAAACTATGAAGCACACAACAAAATCTCAACTTGAGTAGAAATTCAGCAACCTTCTCCATTGGAGGCAACCATAACCCCCCCCCCAGTTTTATGGGAACCATAAGAGTGCAACAGCTTTATTGGGCTCACTCTGCGAGTTACTCTATTCACACAAGTTGTTTCCAGCTTCCTAGGATCTTTCTAATGCATTTTGGTTATAATTCTTAAATGCCCAGCTAGCACGGCCAACAGACATGGAAATTATATACTTAGCTTGCTTAACGATCCTAATTGTAGCTCTGCCACTCAGTAAAACAGTCACTAATTGGAAAGTCATGTGACTGTGACTATGCTTTCCAACTGGAAAGAGACACATCTACTCAGTTTCACGCCTTCAGCTTTTGTTTGCCTCCTAACCCCTCTCCTGCCTTTGGAATGCTTGAGTGCCTGCTTACTGTCTTGTACACTAAAAGCAATGTTATTGCACTCTAATCCAGGGATGGGAGCCGCATGCTATGGTTTACTCTCTTGAAATCCCTGTCTCCAATCTTTCCGCTCTAAGGGGAGGAGGGGGAAAAAAAGCAAGCAATTTATGTAGGCAATCTCCCCTTTGCCTTACCCTTTTTCACTTCCAGAGCAATCACATGGCTTTTGATACCTAAAAGAGCAAACAGTTTACTCTCTTGAAATCTTTCTTTTCCAATTTTTCCGCTCTGCAGGAGAGACAAGAGCAAGCAAAGGAGAGATTGTCTAAAGAAATTGCTTGCTTTTTTTCCTTTCTCCACCCATAGAAGAGAGATTGGAGAGAAGAGTAAGCTGTTTGCCTAGCACATCTGCAGCACTCAGACCTGAATTACCCACATTGCTCTCAATATATAGAAGAGCAAACAGCTTACTCTCTTGAAATCCCTTTCCAATCTTTCTGTTCTGTAGGGGGGAGGGAGAGGAGGATCAGGCAAAGGAGAAATTGCCTACAGAAATTGCTTATTTTTTTCTCCCCACCAACTCCCTCATAGAAAAAAAGAGATTGAAGAGAAAGAGATTTCAAAAGAGTACTGTAGCACTGGGCTGCTGCCAGAATCACATTGCTTTCAATGTCTAGAAAAACAGCTTACTTCCTTGCAATCCCTTTCTCTCCAATCTCTCTGCTCTGCACTCTGTGTGTGTGTGTGTGTGTGTGTGTGTGTGTGTGTGTGTGTGTGTGTGTGTGTGTAAACAAAACCCATAATTCAGGCATAGATCATTGCATACTGACTGTAATGGCAATCACATGACTGAGGAATGCTGCAAAGGTTATGAATACGCTATAAAGTTATTTTTTTCAGCACCCACTGTAACTTTGAATGGTCACTGAATGAATGGGAGGTGAGTGAGAAATATTTATATTGGAGTTACATCAATGGAGCACTTAGCTAACAAAGGCATATTAATATGCTTTAAGATGTGTGGTACTGTCTCATTAAAAGAAATGCCTAACCCAGCATCAAGTAAGCAAAAGTAAGACTGGCTGTTTGTAATAATCAAAAAAATGGATCTTTGGTGCCTATTACACTACAGTTCTCTGTACAGAGGTTATTATACAAATAGTCCTTGAATAATGGTAGTTATTGGGACTGGGAACTCTCTCTCTCTAAATGATGCTGTTGCAAAATCCAATATCAGGTGAACATACCAACTTACAATGGCAGTTCCAGCTGCAGGCATTAGGTCAGTGGTTCTCAACCTTTTTAATGCCGCGACCCCAACCAGTCGTAAGTCGAGGACTAAACTGGTCGTAAGTCGAGGACTACCCAACCGGTCGCAAGTCGAGGACTTTCCCTGCCCGGGAGCGCCGCCCATGCGTGGTTCCGTCCCCTGCGCCGGCCGAGGCGTAGCTGGCAAGCGGCAGAGACGGAGCAGGCCGACCACCAGCTGGCCCAGCCCAAGGGAGGTAAGGCACCCGCCAGAAAAGGGGGAAAAAAATGGCGGACAAAAAAAATGGCGGACAGCCTTGCTTGGCGACCCCCATGAAATGGTCAATCGACCCCAAATGGGGTCCCGACCCACAGGTTGAGAACCACTGCATTAGGTGAATCCCACAATGTCACGTGACTGTCATTTGTGACCTCCTGCAGGCTTCTCCATTGACTTTGCTTGGCAGAAACCAGTAGAGAAGGTCACAAAGAGTGATAACGTGAGGGGACACTGCAGCCATTGTAATTGCAGTTGCCAAGTGCCTGAATTGCAATCAAATAACTGCAGCAATGCTGTCATGGCTTTGAGGATCAGCCATACATCTCCTCATTCAGCACTGTCGTAACTTTGAACAGTTGAACAAGTGATCGTAACCCAATGGCTACCTGCACTTCCCACTACGGACTCAGGTAAAAATGCCGTAGTAACCTTTTCTAAAAGCACTTGAAAAACCAAAGTAAACTAACAAAATAATTTAGAAACCAAATTAAAGGAACATATTTTCCCAGATGTGTGTCATGTGTGGCAATCTGCAAGAGCTTGTCTAACAAAACAATAGTAGTAACATCTCTGGCCATTTACAAACATTCTTAGTTATGGGCTAGGTAGGGGAAGAACAGTCCAAAGGATCGATAGTGCAGCTTCTGTGAGAGACATGAAGCGTCCATAAGAAAACCTACGGGCGGTTAGCAAAGGGTAACAGGCAAGCAAAAAGCCTAGAATTGGGAATCTTTGCAGAAAGAGAGACAGAGTAGCCAGCAGAAAAGCAAAGAGCCGAGAGGAAGCAGGGTAGAAGAATCAGAAGGAGAAGATAAAGGAATAAGGGGAAATCAAGGCAAAAAGATTGCTGGAGAATAAACTGAAGATACAAGGCTCAAGAAATAGTAGAAAAGTGGACAAGCAGGGAGCTTTAAATGCTGAGGAACTGGGTCAAGTCCCATATGAAACGTTGAGCCAAACATTTAGCTAGAGTTCCCAGCACCTCTGATAGATGTCTTTCCGCAGCACTGAATTACATTAGGAGGGGACCCAGGACATGCACTATCCTAGGGCAGTGTTTTTCTACCCAAGCAAGCATTTTACCCTGCCAACATGACCTAGGAATCCCAAGGCAATGGGTCTACCATAGGTCTCACCAGATTCTGATCATCGAAGGCCCCTGAACAAAGCTCCTGATACAAATCGGGATCTATGTGCAGATCATCATCCGACAGAGGCTCAGGTGTGGCAGCCGATTCTAGCTGTTCCTTTAGCATCTGCAGATCATCCTCCCGCCCCCGTAACATCTATTGAGCGATTGGGGAAGTGGGGAGAGAGCGGGAAAAAGCAGTGAGAGAGGAAAAGGGGGGAAGAAAAGAGAAAGAGAGAGAGAGAGGAAAGCATTAAAGAAGCCATCTGCCTGGCTTCACGAGCACCAAGGCACCAAGACAGTGCAAACATACCCTTCTGTTCCTGTGCACAGAGTGGCAAACCAGAGAAAATGGGGCTTGCTGAATGCCAAGCGGCAAAGCACGAGCAGCAAAAAAAAAAAAAGAATTCCCAAACCCACTTCTTTTAAAAAAAATAAAATAAAATAAAAGTGGAGAGGAGAAAAGGCTTAAGAGCTCCAAGAAGCAGGGCCAAATGGCCCAGCAAAACCTGCCACCTAACACAATACATAAATGCATGCAGTCTGGGTCTTCGCGCACCCGGCCTTTCAAGTACGAACCCACTAAGTGTTACGCCGGATCTATACAGGCAGCAGGATGAGGTGGAAATAAGATGAAAAGGTGGACTGCCGTCACTAAACAGAGAAAGGCGTAGAATTGCCTCACTGGGGGTTGGAAGAAGAGGACAAAAAAAAAAACCCTCATCCAATTAAAAAGTTGGAAAACCCAGAGTAGGGCACAGGGAAAAAAAACTTTCTCCCTGCTGTGTTAGTTTTCTCTTAAGTGGGAGATAAACATGGGTGCACGTGCTATGGACAGGTAGTCCTCGATTTATGACCACAATTGAGCACAAACTCTCTGTGGTAAACGAGACGGTTGTTAAATGAGTTTTGCCCCATTTTACGACCTTTCTTGCCACAGCTGTTGAGTGAACCACTGCAGTTGTTATATTAGTAACACAGTCACTAAGTGAATCTGGCTTCTCCATTGGCTTTGCTTGTCAGAAGGTCGCAAAAGGAGATCACATGACACCCCCCCCCCCCGGAACACTGCAACCGTCATAAACATGAGTCAGTTGCCAAGCGTCCGAATTTTGATCACGTGATCACGGAGATGCGGCAATGGTCGTTAAGTATGAACAATGGTCATAAATCACTTTTTTCAGCGCTGTTTGTAACGTCAAACCGTCACTAAACGAAAGGTTGTAAGCCGAGGACTACCTATATGTAAAAGAGATTAGTTTCCACCCACAATCTGAAATAGTTCAGTCCACCACTTCTAAACTATCACCACCTCATTATACTGGATGTATAGGCCAAGCTTCAGTCTGCTTCCCTATCTAGGGAAAAAAAAAATCCCAGGAGTCCCAACTTAGCACTCACCTATTATCTTAATCCTGATTATTAAGATTTTTTTTTAAAAAAAAGGAAAAAAAAAGAAAAAACTGGAGGGAAAAAGGAAACTTACCGAAGCTGGAAAATATTTATAGGACTCCTAGGAAGAAAAGAACGGGAAAAAAAAAATCACGTGTGAGCTACACACAACCAACAGCTTCAATTTGAGGTGGCTGCCCCTTGGGAGTGAGCAGCCAAGGAAGTGCCCCTCTAGAGAAAACATGCAATGATCTCAGGGCAGGGAATGCCCACCACGACACTCACCCGAGCCCGAACCTGGCACTGCCTCAGGCGGCATTTCTGACGGATTTTGTTAGGCCCGCCAAACTTCTTCATGTCCCGGCAGAAATCACACTGCCCGCAGTCCTCTGTGCGCCGGCAGGCCTCACATTCTCCACACATGCGGGCTGAGCGCTTGATCTGCTGCAAATAGGACAACGGACAGGTGTGAGAAGGGCTAGGCTGCATTAACAGAAGGATAGAATCAAGATCACGCGAAGTGTTAATGCCACTTTACAACGCCTTGGTAAGGCCACACTTAGAATACTGCATCCAGTTTTGGTCACCACGATGTAAAAAAAGATGTTGAAGCTCTAGAAAGAGTGCAGAGAAGAGCAACAAAGATGATCAGAGGACTGGAGCATAAAATATATAAAGAACGGTTGCTGGAATTGGGTATGTCTAGTTTACTAGGGGTGACATGATTCTCAGGGGTTGCCACAAAGATGAGGGAGTCGACCTATTCTCCAAAGCACCTGAAAGCAGGATAAGAAGCAACAGATAGAAACTAATGAAGGAGAGAAGCAACCTACAACTAAAGAGGAATTTTCTGACAGTTAGAACAATTAACGAGTGGAACAATTTGCTTCCTGAAGTGAATGCTCCAACACTGGAGGTTTTAAGAAGGGATTGGACAACCATTTGTCTGAAATGTTATAGGGTTTCTTGCCTAAGCCGGGGGTTGGACTAGAAGACATCCAAGGTCCCTTCCAATTCCAATTCCAATTCCAATTCTATTCTATTCTAATTCTAATTCTATTTCCATCCCTTGGGTTTGGTATGTAAATATAAGGGGAATAGGCTACCTTCTCATGATTGAGGGCTACACCTAATATTTTTGGGCTGTCTTGGGCTAATAATGGTAATAATGAATTGGTGAGGCAATAATGCAAAAGGAGAAGGGGAACAGGAGTGGGAGAAAGAGTAAAATTAATTGGCAAATCAAGGATTCTGTTTTTGCAAGGTATGCTAACCCCCATACAAAGTGATTTGTTAACTGTATTCCAACTCATAGTGATGGGGAAATGTGCTACCAGTTTTCAACCCCCATCATCACAGGAGCCTCCAGAGTCATAAGAATGGTGCCTGGGGATCTCAAGTTGCTCGCCTCCCCAGAATAGAGGGGGAAAAGAGATTCTTCTGGCAGAATCTCTTTTCCCCTCTATTCTGGGGAGGCTGTTCCTCCTGCTGTTTTATTATGGTCAGTGCAGCAAGTGAGAAGTCACATTTTTTTGGAGTCAATTTCCCAGCAAACATGTCACTGCTCCATCTGCTGAATCATGCCTATGTGCTAGCAGTAGACACTTTTCTTTGTGCCTGCTGGCTCCTAAGACTTTTCTTTTTCATAAAAACTATTATATAGAAGCTAGCATGTTGCAATGCAAAGCCCTCACTTCCAGCTCCATCTTTATTCTGAGCATAACTTAAGATCCAACACTGACATTCCTAAAATATTGAAGAAGCTGATTTTGTCTTGGAAGTTTTACCTACTTTCCAGAACAAAAGACAAAAGTAAATTGGGAGATGGCAGGGTAAATCCTAAGAGACCACAACAGATGGAAGCGATCTCATCCGTTTATCTTCCGCTATATGTATGGCTGGCCACATCCACATGGTGGACGCTTTGTGAAAACATAAATTCCTAACCCGAGGCAAAATGGGATTGGCCACAACATGCTCACAGAACTCCAAACGTTGCTTTCAGTCTCTTCGAACGTTAGGTGGAAGGATGAAGATTTAGCCAATGTCCAGATATCCTCCCATGGATTTCATCACCGTGAAGGCTTAGAGGACTGCAAAAGTTAATATACGCACGAATCAATATTCTTTTCGATAAAAGTGAGGGAATGCTCAGACTACAGCTATGAATGCCAGGAAGTTCAGTTCAGCAGCTTCCAGAAGAACTCCCAAGATCTGTTCTAAAACTAAAATTGAGAGTAAAAGGCAGGCTTCAACTACAGCATACCATTTGCAAAATTCAGGGAAAACTAGGGCTACTGGCACTTCTTCAGGAGATAAAATATCCTGCCAAGCAAACTCTAATTAAAAGTAACAATGGCTTTGTTCAGTTGGAGAACTCGGCTTTCCCCAACACACAGCTAGCACTTTTCAATTTTGATCAAACTTTCCTAGATTTAGATCAAAAGTGACAGGGTTAGAAAATAGGGAGAAACAAACAAGATGGTATCAATATTTTCAAAGCAGCTTTTAAACTTTCCCATTATGCTCTTGCTAACCTATCATTTCTATGTTTTGCATTTTATAAAACAATTGCTAGTACATCATTCCATGTAGGCCAGCGCTTCCCAAACCTGGGTAAATTATCCAGAATTGGGTAGAAGTGGTTTTTCTTTAGATAACGACGCATGAACGCATGACCCAAACACAACAAGGGCATTTAAATCGACTTAAAGTATTTGGGCAAAAGAACTTTCTGATCAGTGGTTTTAGCTAAAGAACGGAAAAAAATGGAAAACCCTAATACAGGCAATATAAAGGGAATTCTAAAATTGCACAAGTCAAAATCTCATGAATCCTGTTCCACTGCGCATGATTCAAACTGGCTTTATGATGAACCTCAGATTTGTAGAAAAAATACAGGAGGAAAATGCAAAATCGAAGATGCTTAAAAATTAAACATTAACAAAGGCAACTGATTATCCCAGCTGATATTTATTCAATTTATATCCCAACTAAAGGCAGCATACAAAATACTTCCTCCTCCTCCTCCTCACAGGAATTCTGTGAGGTGGGTTGTGTTGAGAGGGAGTGACCCTCTATGCCAGTGGTTCTCAACCTTTTTAATGCCGCGACCCCAACCGGTCATAAGTCGAGGACTAAACCGGTCGTAAGTCGAGGACTAAACCGGTCGTAAGTCAAGGACTAAACCGGTCATAAGTCGAGGACTACCCAGCCGGTCGTAAGTCGAGGACTTTCCCTGCCCGGGAGCGCCGTGCATGCGTGGTTCCGCCCCCTGCGCCGGCCGAGGCGTAGCTGGCAAGCGGCAGAGACAGAGCAGGCCGACCACCAGCTGGCCCAGCCCAAGGGAGGTAAGGCACCCGCCGGAAAAGGGGGAAAAATGGCAGACAAAAAAAATGGCGGACAAAAAAAATGGCGGACAGCCTTGCTTGGCGACCCCCATGAAATGGTCGATCGACCCCAAATGGGGTCCCGACCCACAGGTTGAGAACCACTGCTCTATGCCAAGGGTGTCAAACTGCCGGCCCGCGGGCTGGTTGCATCATACGGAGGCCACGCCCACCCCAGCTCTGGCAATGCAAAAAAAGTCGCGATATGTCGCGACACGTCACGTGACGCGGCGAGTTTGATACCTGTGCTCTATGCCAAAGGGAGAACTAGAACTTATCATCTCCTGGTTTCTAGTGCAGACCTTAACCACTACCCTAAACTAGCTCTCTAAATATACCCTAAAAAGGCACATCTGATTTAAAATTTTGTCACGGCAATAAATAATATGTTTAAGCATTAATATGCGTAACAATAAGGAAAGGGTAGGAAGATCTCAAGAGAATCTGATTTAGCAATTAACTAAACTAAACGTACTGAAAGGAATGCCTTGAATTACCAAGCAATCTGGCTTCAGGGATCTGTTACTGTCCCATGATCTTCTAAAAGTGACTTCATCTTCCTGTTGTTCCATCAAAGGGAAGAACCACTGGGTCACAGAGGAGCTAGAAACTAAGTACAGTATTTACCTATTTGACTACATCAAAGTATAGTATTTACCTATTTGACTACATCTTGATCCTGTAGCTATGTAAATCTAATAAATGACAACAAACAGCCTGAGCACGACTGTTAGTGAAAGGCAGTTGCTTCAATGTACGAGTTCAGTGCCCAACAGTTCAAATCACAACAACATTCTGGAGTTAGAATGCCAGGCCCTGTAAGATGGGGTAATCTCCACTGCACCCCCAACCCCTTACTTTGGAATTGCGGCTCTGCTCCAGTGCCAGTTCTTGGGCTTTCACACGCATCTCATCTTTTTCAGCACGTTCCCGCTCACCTTCACGGTCCTTCTCCTTGGACTTTTTGTGCCTATATCGGATTTCAAGGGTGGGGTCTCTCTCTGCAAAAGAGAAAGAGGTCTAAGTTATGAGAACCCGTATCCCCTTTCAAAACATCTGAATGTAATTTATTTTTTATATTAATACTATATGTGTTTTTCTGTGCTACTAGGAAAAAAAATAGAATATAACCTTAGGAAAAGCTATTTTACCCAAAGTAAAGCAAAAGGAACGGTCAGAACAGATCTCCTCCTTTAGAAATAAAATAGCAGGAAGCTAAGATTTTCATTTGTTACCTGGAATTTTAGGCTTCACTATTGGCATTTTAAACATTTACATTAGTATTTTAGCATGGCATCTTTCTTCTAACTTTAGGGCTCTGATCCAAGGCCATTTCTTTTGATAAGTGAGAACTAGCTTTCTCAGCAACTAAACAATAGTGAGCATTAAATATACTTGCAAGTATTAAGAAAGAAACAACAAAGTCATCTGGGAAAGTGAATGTTATAACCCATAAATGTGCCACTTGTAAAATATTATCTAAAATCAATTGTTTATCGTTTAATTCTCATATTCATTCAATACCTTTTGGTTGATTAGTTGCTTTTTCATGCCTCACATATACCAAATGTGTATAGTTTGTTTCTGTACTCTATAAAAAAACTTGACCCTCCATAGTAAATGCTTTACACTTTGCCTGATGTATTTGTGATTCATATATTGGGTTGGGGATGGTGGTGGTAAAAAAGCCACTTTGCAAAAGTGTACAGGTAGTCCTTGACTTACAACAGTTGGTTTAGTGACCATTCGAAGTTACAATGGCACTAAAAAAGTGACATGACCTTTTTTTTCATACTTCCCCATGGTCCCTATTGCAGCATCCCCATGGTCACATGATCAAAATTCAGATGCTTGGCAACTGACTCATATTTACGACGGTTGCAGTGTCCCTGGATCATGTCATCACCTTTTGTGACCTTCTGACAAGAAAAGTCAATGGGGAAGCCAGATTCTCTTAACGACAGTATTACTAACTTAACAACTACAGTGATTCACTTAACAACTATGGCAAGAAAGGTTATAAAATGGGGGGAAACTCACTTAACAACTATCTCACTTAGTAACAGAAATTTGGCGCTCAATTATGGTTGTAAGTTGAAGGTTACCTATACTGTTTTCTCTCTCAAATTCCTCCAGCTCCATGCTGCTCTACTCATCTGTCTGAATTTCAAGGCAACGCATAAACAATGTTTTACTTATATTGTTTATCCTTCCTTTTTATATATAAAGCAATCAACATACATTATATTCCTTCCTTCCTATTTTCCCCACAACAACCCTGTGTAGAGAGCTGGACTGAGAGAGAGTGACTGGCCCAAAGCCACCCAGCTGGCTTTTCATGCCTAAAGGAGGCCTAGACATCACTGTCTCCTGGTTTCTGGGTCAGAACCACTGCACCAAACTGGGTCTCTGTTGTCCCTGGAAACTGTGTTTTTAACCAGTTCATGCTATGCTGCACTTAGTCAATCTTAGTTATTATATAGAACAATTATTCTTAAAGTATTTTTATATTCTACAAAAAGCTCTGCTATATAGATTCAAAAATCAGGGGGTGTTTTTTAAAAATTTATTATTGAGCATGTTTTGCCATTTTTAAATATTATTAAATTTGAGGGGAGGGGAAATCTCTATAAATTCTAAGTTTTTAGCACACCACTTAAGGACATGTCCGTATATGCTTCACGAGACACAGATTTATCACACACACAAACAAAAAAAAGATTTCAAATTTACCTCGGCACTGCATGCAGTACCATTCCCGAATTGCTTTTGCCATCTTCTCAGTAATGTTAATGCAATGGCCATGGAACCATTCATTGCAATGATCACAGCCTCTGGAAAGAGAAAAAGAGGAAGTAAGGATTCATTAACCAAGTTTCTTCTGCATTTGAGAATCTGTACAAGAGGGCTCACCATCTACTTAACTATAACTGGGTGTGTGCCTTTAAGTCAATGCTGACTCCTGGTGACTGCCTGGACAAGTCCCTGCAGTTCTCCTGACAAGATTTCAGAAGTGCTTTGCTACTGCCTCCTTCCTAGGGCTGACAAAGTGACTGGCCAATGGTCACCCAGCTGGCTTTGTGATTAAAGCAAGACTAGGTCTCCCAGTTTCCAGCCTGATGTCTTAGCCAAACTGGCTCTAACTAACTAAGTATAACAGGGAACTCTTAAAAAGCATAACATCTTCTATTGGAAAGGGGTGGATAAAAGAGAGAGAAGGTTGGATAATAAATATCTAGATGAACTTCAGAAGATCAAGAGTTTCTTGTACCTCTCAAATATCTAATAGTGGCAATAAAGATTCTTTTTTCATGATTTAAGGTCCTCATATAAAAGCGCAATTAGGGGAAAAAGTTAAAGTTGTGGTCCTGAAAATAAATTCCCAGGCTGAGCATAGGATCCAAAGCACTCCATTCATTAATTCTAGGTGAGCCACAAACCACAATTTTGCAACTTACAGAACTTGTCAATCTAATAAAGGAAAAAGGAAAAGTAAACCTTGTCATGTTAAAGTTTGGCCACCTCTGTGCTATCACATATAGTGGCCTTTCCCTGATAGATAAGTCCTATCCTAAATCCATAATAACTTCACAAGATATTCAACATTTGTCGTAGTGCTTTTTTGTGCATTCACCTTAATCTCTAGAAGCACTGTTTGGATTTAATGCTGTTCACTTGCTATTGAATAATATTCCTTCAAGTTATCAGACAGATATAGCTTCTTCAGTATGAATGCTCTGTATGCCCCAAGCATTAGGGTTCTTAAAGGCTTTAACTCTGGATATATGTTTAGAATTGACTTAATCTACTATAATTGGTATTTTTTCTAATTATTTTCTATTTTTTCCAATATTTGGGAAATATTAGGTAATTTGCCCTCACAATTACTTCATTCAATAGAGTACTGTCTTTATTTCTTTTTATTGTACCCTTTACCCTTCTCTTGCCCTTTTCATCTCCCCCTTTTAATGTGCCATTAGTATCTTTATGTTGCAAAGTATTCTTCAGAATGATCAAAGTTTTTAAATTTTATAATTAAAAATATTCCTTTTTAGAAAGAACATGTTCCAGAAGACCTTGCAGAGATAAACCAGCATATATTATACTGGCAAAAGGGTTTTGCACTGGATGCCATCCCCAAGGCAACCTCATAACATGTGAAAGAGCTGTCATGATCAAGTTCTTTTATTCCTTTCAACAATACTCACATCATGAAACAATTGATATCAGGTTTGCGACAGATGCAATAGACAGGAGCATTCTCTCCATTCTCAGATTTTGATTCCTCACCCATAACTGCCAAATCAGGATCAGAAAATTCGTCCTGAATTCCAAGAAAAAATAGAAAGAATTAACAATGACATAGACATTAAAAGTAGGAAATTTTGATCTTTAAATTGCACTATTTCAAGTATTTGAATGAAGCAATGGAAAATCTTAACTATATTTTCTAGGGATAAATGGAGATCATGAGATCTTATCCCTGAATGTGATAAAATGGGTGAAATTTCAAGGAAGCCCAATTGTATCGAGCCCCTGCCCAGGACAAAAGAGGCTGGGGAAAAAAAGGTTTGGAAAATCCTCTTTATGCAGCTTTAAAAAATTTGCTGATAACGAAAGAAGCAAGTCTGGCTCAACAGACAAATTGTCTCATCCCATAGATCCCATAAGCCCCATTTTCTTTGCAAAGCTTAAAGTCCAGTTTTCACCGTTGGTCAACCCACTGAGCGGTCCCACTAATGGAAAAACTCGGAAGAGACTCCGGAAGACTCTTGCTTCCCCCAAGCTGTAACCTTCCTCTTCCACTGCCTGGATCCCGCTGCCCTTCGATCAAACATCCTTGCCGTAAAATGGCTCTGCTCTGATAGGATCGGAGACGATCGAAATGCAGCCGTAATGACTATCCGCTCACCATGATCTCTCCAGTCGGCCAGTTCCCTTCTTCCGAATCAAGACAAGGGGCCAGACAGCAGGAAGGCAGATGGCCTGCTCGTATCCGTTTCCGCTACCATTCGCTCAAAGAGAGAAATAACATCCGTGTCGCTGGGTCTTTTCTGCCCTTTACAAAGATGGCCGATTATCGCAGCCATTTCCCGGCGGGTCTGGACGGGTTCCGGAATTATTCCCAACAGAATAGTTAGCGCCCTCTGTAGGAGACGAAGGTGAAGTGAGAGTGATAACCTCCTCTCTTGGGTACCGCTTGGAGAGAGGATCTCAGTTAATCTGTTTCCTCGGAGTTTGGGAGAAAAACAAAGCACTCAGACTTTATGGACCAAGAGTAGCCTTACCCACCTTGGGACTGTCTAAGAGGGGTAAGAGCTACATTCTCCGTTGTCCACAACCATTATTGTTACGCTGTGCTACGATTCTCAACGTTCATAATGGTCGAGGAAATCCCATGCTAGCTGAGGATGGAGAGGATTTTACATCCGGAGGACCAAGATTAGGAGTCTCGCTATGCGATTGTTGATCCAGGCTCCACTAAATAAGTTTTTAGTTTTAAGAAACACGTGATAGTATTCTTATTATACAAGAAAAGTGACTAACAAAGTCGTGATACTGTTTAATATGACATTCACCGTAATATATTTTAATATTTGGAAAGCACACATCTTTTCATTTGTTGCGAATAGAATAGAATAGAATAGAATAGAATAGAATAGAATAGAATAGAAGCTGGAAGGGACCTTGGAGGTCTTCTAGTCCAGCCTCCTGCCCAAGCAGGAGAACCTATACTATCTCAGACAAGCGACTGTCTAGCCTCTTCTTAAAAATCTCCAGAGATGGAGCACCCACTTCTGAAGGCAGGCTGTTCCACTGGTTAATTGTCCTCACTGTCAGGAAGCTTCTCCTTAATTCCAGGTTGCTTCTCTCTTTGATCAGTTTCCAACCATTGTTTCTTGTCCTGCCCTCTGGTGCTTTGGTGAATAACGTGACCCCCCTCTTCTTGGTGGCAGCCCCTCAAACACTGGAATACTGCTATCATGTCTCCCCTATTTCTTCTTTTCTTTAGAGTAGCCAAACCCAAGTCCTGCAGCCGTTCTTCATGCTGTATGCACAATTAATGAAAATATCAAGCAGCGTATCCCATTATATCAAATCTGGGAATAGTGACTACTATGGGAATAAAAATGAGTAGCCTGGGTGAGAAATAATTTTAGCTACAGCAAAACTCTAGTCATGTACATCACAAATATCTTGTATCTTAAATTCTCATTTTACCAATAGAGGAGAATATTTGTAGCTCAGGGTTGAAATGACGGGTTCTGGGGTGCTCTCAGAGCTTGGTTGTTTTCTTGCAGATGTTTCATTACCCAAATTACATCATCGAGGCTACTAAGGAGTGGGATGCCCTGTCAGTGTTGGTGGGTGTGGTCTTGGTGGTTATTTGGTTGGGCTGTTTACTATTTGCTTGTCCGGCAGTTCCTTGATTGGGGTATTGTTTACTTCTTGATTGTTGGTCTGAAGTTAATCTCGGTGTTAATCTATGTTCATCTGGGTGTTGATTGCTGGTAGGGAGGTGTTTTGTTTTTTTTGTTTTCTTTTTGGCTTGTTGATTGTCTCTTTTGTACAGTATGTAGATGTTGTTTATGTCTATGCCTAATGATGGCTGATTTGTCAGAGTGCCAGGCTTCCAGGAATTCTTTAGCATTTTTGGACTTAGCTTGGTAAGGCTTCCAGGAATTCTTTAGCATTTTTGGACTTAGCTTGGTAACAGTTTCCCAGATGAAATTATGTCTGTCTGTCCATGTGTTGTGAGATTCATCATGTCTTCTGACTGCTAGTTGGTGTTCATGGATATGTTCTGCTAGTGTTCTGTTTGTCCTATGTAGTGGCTGTTGCAGTCTTTACACTGTATATTTACAGTGTACACCCTCTTTACACGCTGTCTGAGGAATTCTGGGAGTTGAAGTCCACAAGTTATAAAAGGGCGAAGTTTGAAGACCCCTGTTTTAAATGATTCCTGGGTTTTTTCCCCCTCCTGGGCCTGCAAGGTTTTGGTTTACTTAGGATATTTTGAAGAGCTTTAGTTGGTTTGCGTGCTATGCTGATGCTACATGGTTGTTATAGTCTATTGCTGGTTTCTGAGATGTTTTTGATGTGTGACAGTGTTATCCTTATAGCTTGTTGTAATGTGTTTGAATATTAGTAGCTCGGGATGGTAGTTGGGCTATTGGTTTGATCTCCAAGCTTGGCGATTTGGCTGCAAACATTTTGTCTCCATTTGGGGGGGGAACACATCTTCAGTGCTCTTTGAATTGAATTCAAAGCGCACTGAAGATGTCCTCCCAAATGGAGACAAAATGTTTGTAGCCAAATCGCCAAGCTCGGAGGTCAAACCAACAGCCCAACATATAGCTTATGTTGGTTGTGCTATATTGGGTTGAGTGGTCAAGCACTTTTTGATGAAGTTGCATGGATACCCATTTTGTTTCAAGGTGTTATAGAGATTATCTGTTTCCTTTTTCTTACGTTCAGGGTTGCTGAGTGTGTTTGTGCTCATCTGAATAGTGTTCTTACACAACTTCTCTTATGAGAGGTTGGGTTATTACTTTGGTAATGAAGTACTTACTTGGTGTGGGTAGTTTTCTATAGACTTGTGTTTCTAGTTTGCCATAGAGGTGTCTGCTGATAAGGATATCCAGGAAAAGTATCATATTGTTGTTTTCTTTTTCCCTTGTGAATTGGATTCTTTTGAAGATGTTGTGGATAGTTTCATATGTGTTCTCTAGTTGGTCCTTTTCTATTATAGTAAAGGTATCAACTATAAACCTGATCCATATTTTGGGTTGTATATATGTGGGAGTGCTACTGATTCCACTTGAGACCACTCCTACCAATGCTAACAGGACAAGCCACTAGAATATAAAATGAGACCCAACTCCACTCCATACTANCTCTCTCTCTCTCTCTCTCTCTCTCTCTCTCTCTCTCTCTCTCTCTCTCTCTCTCTCTCTCTCTCTCTCATGGGACTTGCCGGAGGGCCGTGGGAGGGCCGCATTTATATAGAGCAGGGAGGGCTGCTCGAGGGCCGGATTAAACCGGGCCGCGGGCCGCAAATGGCCCGCGGGCCGGACTTTGGACATGTCTGGTCTAGCCTCTTCTTAAAAGTCTCCAGGGATGGAGCACCCACTTCTGAAGGCAGGCTGTTCCACTGGTTAATTGTCCTCACTGTCAAGAAGCTTCTCCTTAATTCCAGGTTGCTTCTCTCTTTGATCAGTTTCCAACCATTGTTTCTTGTCCTGCCCTCTGGTGCTTTGGTGAATAACGTGACCCCTCTTCTTGGTAGCAGCTCCTCAAACACTGGAATACTGCTATCATGTCTCCCCTACTTCTTCTTTTCTTTAGACTAGCTAAACCCAAGTCCTGCAGCCGTACTTCATGCTGTATGCACAATTAATGAAAATATCAAGCACCGTATCCCATTATATCAAATCTGGGAATAATGACTACTATGGGAATAAAAATGAGTAGCCTGGGTGAGAAATAATTTTAGCTACAGCAAAACTCTAGTCATGTACATCTTGTATCTTAAATTCTCATTTTACCAATAGAGGAGAATATTTGTAGCTCAGGGTTGAAATGACGGGTTCTGGGGTGCTCTCAGAGTTTGGTTGTTTTCTTGCAGATGTTTCATTACCCAAATTACATTATCGAGGCTACTAAGGAGTGGGATGCCCTGTCAGTGTTGGTGGGTGTGGTCTTGGTGGTTATTTGGTTGGGCTGTTTACTATTTGCTTGTCCGGCAGTTCCTTGATTGGGGTATTGTTTACTTCTTGATTGTTGGTCTGAGGTTAATCTCGGTGTTAATCTATATTCATTTGGGTGTTGATTGCTGGTAGGGAGGTGTTTTGGTTTTTTTGTTTTCTTTTTGGCTTGTTGATTGTCTCTTTTGTATGGTATGTAGATGTTGTTTATGTCTATGCCTAATGATGGCTGATTTGTCAGAGCACCAGGCTTCCAGGAATTTTTTAGCATTTTTGGACTTAGCTTGGTAACAGTTTCCCAGATGAAATTACGTCTGTCTGCCCATGTGTTGTGAGATTCATCATGTCTTCTGACTGCTAGTTGGTGTTCATGGATATGTTCTGCTAGTCTTCTGTTTGTCCTATGTAGTGGCCGTTGCAGTCTTTACACTGTATATTGTAAATCAGGGGTCTTCAAACCTGGCCCTTTTATGACTTGTGGACTTCAACTCCCAGAATTCCTCAGCCAGACACGCTGGCTGAGGAATTATGGGAGTTGAAGTCCACAAGTCATAAAAGGGCGAAGATTGAAGACCCCTGTTGTAAATGATTCCTGGGTTTTTTTTCCCCCTCCTGGGCCTGCTGGGTTTTGGTTTACTTAGGATATTTTGAAGAGCTTTAGTTGGTTTGCGTGCTATGCTGATGCTACATGGTTGTTATAGTCTATTGCTGGTTTCTGAGATGTTTTTGATGTGTGACAGTGTTATCCTTATAGCTTGTTGTAATGTGTTTGAATATTAGTAGCTCGGGATGGTAGTTGGGCTATTGGTTTGATCTCCAAGCTTGGCGATTTGGCTGCAAACATTTTGTCTCCATTTGGGGGGGGGGACACATCTTCAGTGCTCTTTGAATTGAATTCAAAGCGCACTGAAGATGTCCTACAAAATGGAGACAAAATGTTTGTAGCCAAATCGCCAAGCTCGGAGGTCAAACCAACAGCCCAACATATAGCTTGTGTTGGTTGTGCTATATTGGGTTGAGTGGTCAAGCACTTTTTGATGAAGTTGCATGGATACCCATTTTGTTTCAAGGTGTTATAGAGATTATCTGTTTCCTTTTTCTTATGTTCAGGTTTGCTGAGTGTGTTTGTGCTCATCTGAATAGTGTTCTTACACAACTTCTCTTATGAGAGGTTGGGTTATTACTTTGGTAATGAAGTACTTGCTTGGTGTGGGTAGTTTTCTATAGACTTGTGTTTCTAATTTGCCATAGAGGTGTCTGCTGATAAGGATATCCAGGAAAAGTATCATATTGTTGTTTTCTTTTTCCCTTGTGAATTGGATTCTTTTAAAGATGTTGTGGATAGTTTCATATGTGTTCTCTAGTTGGTCCTTTTCTATTATAGTAAAGGTATCAACTATAAACCTGATCCATATTTTGGGTTGTATATATGTGGGAGTGCTACTGATTCCACTTGAGACCACTCCTACCAATGCTAACAGGACAAGCCACTAGAATATAAAATGAGACCCAACTCCACTCCATACTA